AAGGGGAGCAGCGCCTAGGGAAGGGGAGCAGCGCGTAGGGAGGGGGAGTAGCGCATAGGGAGGGGGAGCAGCGTCTAGGGAAGGGGAGCAGCGAGTAGAGAAGGGGGAATAGCGCGTAGGGAAGGGGGAGAAGCGTCTAGGGAAGGGGAGCAGCGCGTAGGAAAGGGGGAGTAGCTAGGGAAGGCAGAGCAGCGCGTAGGAGGGGGAGCAGCGCGTAGGGAGGGGGAGCAGTGCCTAGGGAAGGGGAGCAGCGCGTAGGGAAGGGGGAGCAGCCCGTAGGGAAGGGGGAGTAGCGCGTAGGGAAGGGGGAGCAGCCCGTAGGGAAGGGGGAGTAGCGCGTAGGGAAGGGGGAGTAGCGCGTAGGGAAGGGGGAGTAGCGCGTAGGGAAGGGGGAGTAGCGCGTAGGGAAGGGGGAGTAGCGCGTAGGGAAGGGGGAGGCCAAGACACACATGAGTGACAGAAATGATAAGTGACGGAATGGAGCGCGACGGGCAGGAGAAGGGAGCGTGTCGAACAGGAGAAGGGAGCGCGACGAGCAGGAGAAGGGAGCGCGACGAACAGGAGAAGGGAGCGCGACGAGCAGGAAAAGGGAGCGCGACGGGCAGGGGAAGCGAGGGAACGGGGCAGGGTGCGCGATGGAAAAGAGACGGGAGTGCGACGGGCAGGGGAAGCGAGCGCGAAGGCAAGGGGAAGGGAGGGCGACGAATAGGCGGCGGAGGCAAGGGCAACAGTACCGCCTCGACGATGGGAACGGCATTGGGAACGAAAGTGACATTGGCCGCGACGATGGGAACGGCATTGGGATCGAAAGTGACATTGGCCGCGACAGGTTGGTTGGGAGTGCCCCAACGCTTTTGAGTCGACTCAAAAGAAGTGCCCCAACCGCCTACGGTCGGAATGGTGGTTGACTCCGCTCACAAGAGCTCATTGTCAAGGCCCCTTGTGTGTTACGGCCGGCGTCTTGAGTAGGAAGGTGACTCGATTGTGTGACTTTGTGAGTGGATGGGAGTGACGGGTCTGGCGGGGGACACAAGACGAACGAGAGAGACGGGACGGACGGGCGGGAGTGAGTGCGCTAGGCGTCAACTACGCTATTTTGTAAGCTACGGAGGCACCTAGTTATCGAGTCTGTTATGGTTAGCTCGACGTTCAAGTTTGGAGATGTATGAACAGTGGCCTGTTGGGCTGGCTTTTGTGGCGAGAGGGTTGATAAATTTGCCTATGTTGATCTCAGCCAATCAGAATCCCTCAACCAAAAACTGTTTCCCGTGGTCGCGAGTGCCTCGCAGTTCAAAAGTGGGTTACCCTGTTTTTTGCGATTTCAGCTTCAAGAATCTTGAACTTGAACCATTGCCATTCTAGACTCGGGTTTTAATCAATCCACTTTGCCCTCACATACCAGCGCAAGGTGGTTCACAGACTTATCATTAAACGCTTCCGCTATTACCGTATGGCCCCGGATAGAAGCGCAGGCCTATGTTAAGCGCATGCGCTTGTATCTGGAGCAATGCGCTTATGGCCGATCCTCAATTATAAGCGCACCCCTTTGGAATTCTTGACTTATTATAAGCGCACTCGTTTAGTTTAAAAAAAAAAGAATTTCATTTTTTTTAACCTACCTAGCCTACATGTTCTAAACTTTCCATTAAGAATGACAATCTCATACAAGGGTGGTCTCTGCTGTCCTGCACTACACCTTTCAACCTGCCTAGTCTACCCTACTGCCTTTTCTTCCTCCTCGTCCGACTCAGGCTCCGTGGAGTTGTTGCCCCAGAACCCATCTGCCTGGATGTCGTCGTCCACCTCCACCTCATGGGACAACTGGCACCTTCGGTGCGCTAGCACCAGTTTGTCTTCGCTCCCATCAAGGGCGTTGCTGATGCCGCAAGTGAGGAAGGCTTTCTTGATGAGGTCGGCGGGCACCGCCTTCCAGGCCCGTGAAATCCACTTGAGCACCACCTCCGGAGGTGGTTTCTTGATGTTCCCTGCATCTCACGTAGTGGGGCGGGGAAAACATGAGACAAGTAAACATGCATTCAAGCTCAAGATTTGCAGACGGGAGCACATGCCGTCACTCACCTGCCGGGGTCAGGATGTTCATGCCGTCCTCCTCAAACCAATTTTGGTACTGCTGACGAATGCTTGCTTTGAAGCTTTTGTTGATCGACACATCGAGGGGCTGCAGGTCTGCCGTGCAACCCGCCGGAATGATAGCAGGCACGATGTTGAGCGCCGCGAATCTCGCCTTGACTTCTGGTGTCAGGTGACCGCGATACGAGTCGAGCACCAGCATGGCGCTACGACTCTGCAGGCCGAATTTCGGCTTCAGGAACGGCACCACGCCCGTGTTGAGCCACTCGATGACGCCTGCGGCCTCCATCCACCCGTTGGCTTGGCAGCCGACCACAACATCTGCACGCAACGAAAAAGAACGGTTAACGACTCAGGTAGTAACGGGAATAAACACGGTGGACGATCACTTACCGTTCGGGAAGTCACCCTTGGGGAGTGTCTTGCGCTTGAAAAACACCCACGGCTTCAGCTTCTCGCCCGTCGCCGTGCACGCAAGCATGACGGTCACTCTCTCCTTCTGGTACCCACCGCTGCGAATGGGCACCGACCTCACGCCCGTCTGCTCCACGGTGGTCGTCGCCGGCATCTCTAACCACAGCGGTGTCTGGTCGGCGTTGATGATGTAGCGGTTGTCAATGTCGTATTCGTGCCGGGCGTCACGTACGTACTGCCAAAAATCATTGCACTGCTCAGCCACGTCTGCAGAACAGGGAGAAAGGTACATACAGTAAACCAAATTAGTATGACGCACAGGAGACATGCGAAAAAAACTAAGCGTAATCGGGTACCCACCAAAATCAGCAGTAAACGACCCACTTACGCTCCTGTGTTTTCTGTGCCACCTTTGTTTTCATGCGCACGCTGAGGTTCCACCGCCTGCGGAACCGCTCCGTCCACCGCTGACTGCCTTTCCACTTGACGTCCGGGTATAGAACCTTCATCACTTCTTTGGACCACTCTTGCAGCCGGCCAACCGAAACCGCAACTCCGCGGCGTCGCCAGTCGAGGAGTTGCGCGTACACCTTTAACTCCATGGGGCGGTACCAAGACGACCTCCCGCGCCCGTGAAGTCGCATCCGTGCTCCGTGTGCAGCCTTGAGCGCATCCGCTTGGGCTTTCCATTCTGTCAGACATTTTCGGTGAATGCCTGACTCCCGCGCCACTTCGCTCACCGAAGCCGCAAGCTCGAGCCGCACGAGCCACCTCAACTTCTCCTGGGCGGTGTAGGACTGCCGCTTATGTTGATTCAGCTTGTGCCTGGGGGAGGGGGGGCGGGCATCTCGATTCTCGGTAGACGGGTGGGGGCGTTTTTTATTAAGGGGCGGATATGTCGGTACCGGCATCTTCGCGCGTGGTGCGTCGCGCCACCAGGACTCCACACCGTCCTCGTCCTCGTCACGGTCGGGGAACACGTCTTCCTCGTCGCCCGCTGCACCGTCGCCACCAGCTTCACCGTCGCCTCCAGCTTCGCCGGCGCCGCTGTCATGTTTGTCGGTAGCCACATCATCGTCGGCGCCCACAGCCGACTCATCCCACGCGCAGGATTCTGGTTGTCCCCACCGTGGTGCAGTCGCTGGAGCTTGGATGCGTGCATCGCGGGCCTTGGGTGTGTCCGCTTCAGCCAACCATTCGTCGAACGTGGCTGGTAAATACAGTTGGAGCACGGGCCGTTGGTGAGCACCTGCCGTGGCAAAAGCAGGCGGATTCGGAGGAGCGGGAGGTGCGGGAGGAGCGGGTGGAGCAGGGGGTGCAGGGGGAGCAGGAGGAGCAGGGGGTGCAGGGGGATCCGGTGGCACTGGAGGCGCTGGTGGCTCACGGGTATACCACCCGTCTTTGGTAAGTCGCCATGTGCGGCGTGGCTTTTTCTTGAAGAGGATGCTCGTCCCACTAAATTCCGCCATGGCTTCGCCTGCCAGGCGGGGTTGACAAGGAACTGAATGAAAAAATCAGAGAAGAGGGTGAAGAAATGGGCAACGACGGTGACCCCTGCTGTGTGACGGCTCGGGTTCCTCGTCGATGACAGGCAGGAAACCCCCGCCCACTCCCGTAGAGGCGCCTGCGTGGCAGCATCTACGCTGCGCTGGCAGGGAATCTTGCCGAACCTTCGAGATGGTTCTGCCCGAATGCACATGCCTCGCAGCGCATGCGGCTCTGATTGGGCCGCACGACAACATCATCGTCACGGCTGTCACATTCTATGTTTCCAGACAACATTGTGCGGTGGTAAACCGAACCGCTGCGGTTTCTGCCTGAAAACCATGCACGATCCCACTTGGTGCATGGTCGGTTGAATTCGCCTTATTGAGAGCTTCACAATGGTGTGTTCAAAATTGATTTTCATTTTTCCCTTTATACAAGCGCATGCGCTTATAAATCTGACTCAATTATAAGCGCACCCCCCCAAAAAACAATGTTTTATTATAAGCGCAGGTGCGCTTCTATCCGGGGTATTACGGTACATTGTTCCTACTCAGAGTTTAGTCCTGCAAAGATCCTAAGGGCTTTTCTCAGCCCAACATACTGTAGTATGCACGAAATGGAGACATTTTAGTGCACAGCTGAAGCACCAATAAACTTCAACACACCACAGGTACCGTAGCTTGCCCTGCCACGTATTGGACCAGCTAGCATTCTGAGTCCACTGTACAAAACCGCCTCATAAGACCGGCTAACATTTCTCATCCAATCAACCCCCCGGATACATCAAGACCTAACCGCGGAGAATAGGTGATACTACCATACGTGCCGCCCGTAGTGTGTCTGATACTGATGATACTTACTGACTGACTGATAGAAGAAGGTACATACAGTACAGACCAACCAACCAGGCCCCCAGGCACCCAGCTTTCTGAACTTATTATTGTACGAATCTCCTATATCAAACGTACCGTACTACTGTAGCAATGCAACTAGGTAGTCCCATTCCATTACTCATCCCATTCTATATCCTCATCATCCTCACCCTCAGCCTCTCCTACCCCCACCGGCTCCGGGGTAACCGCAACACCAGCCCCATCCCCTGTTCCACCCGCACTCCCTGCCCCTCCACTCACCCCTCCCCCACTCCCGTCCCCACCAACCTCCCCCCCACTCCCTCCCACCCCACCATCCACCCCATCCCCATCCTCCCACTCATAATCCGCCTCCTCGTCCTCCTCCTGAATTGCTGCTGCTATAGGCGTAGTGGGCAGTGCTTGACTCGTGTTGAAAGGGAGAGCAGTAGTAGGAGCAGGAGGGGTGGCATATGCTCCTGCGTCCCCCTCTTCCCATGTCACATCCTCCTCCTCATCTCCCTCCCCTGCTGCTGCTGCTGCAGCATTGGCAGGAGCGACATCAGTAGTAGCTGCGGCTGTGGCAGTGTCGGTAGCAGCAGCAGTAGGGGCAGTGGTGTCCACTCCGCCTGCTGCTGCCGCTGCCTGTTGCTGTTGCAGCAATGCGGCATAGTAAGCCTTGTAATATTCCTGGTGATACAGGAAGGGGGAACAGAGGGGAGGAACAGTGTCAATAGCAGCAGCAGTAGGGGCAGCGGTGTCCGCTCCGCCTGCTGCTGCTGCAGCTTGTGCTTGTTGCTGCTGCAGCAATGCGGCATAATATGCCTTGTAGTATTCCTGGTGATATGAGGGTGGGGGAACAGGGGGGAGGAACAGGTTGAAGCTGGGGAAGAGGATCTGAGGGATACACCTGTAGTTGTTGCAGCAATGCTGCATAGTAAGCCTTGTAATATTCCTGGTGATATGAGGGTGGGGGAACAGGGGGGAGGGATACCCTAGTTGCTGCAGTGGCAAAGCTGCATAGTAAGCCTTGCATTGTCCCTACTAGAAAAGGAAGAGGCGCATGTGTATGAAACTGATATGACTTATCTATCTGTATACATTATAAATATATGTATATCTACTAATATATATGCATATACTGTACACAGTAAAAAAAAGTGTTGTGAAAGTTTTCTGTTTGCAGTGTGAGGATATTCAGGAGATTTGGACAGGCGCAAAAGCAATGTACAATCGCCTTCCTGACTTGGAAAAGCAGTCACATATCCAAAAAAACCGAAACAAGAACTTCGATTGGACCCTCCCCCCCCCCCCCCCCCCTTCTTTTCTACTTTGTGTGTCCAAGTAGGTGCTTTGGTTATTTGGTGGTTGTGGTTCGTGTCTGCTTTCCGGTGCGACTTTTGAGAATCCTCAAATGTCTGCTTTCCTAATCAGGGAAGTGATTGTGCCTTTCCTCCGCTTCTGTTCAAACCTCAATGAGTCATATTGGACCGAACACTCCCGGACATCTTCATATTGCAAAGAAAAACTTTCAAAACGTTTTTTCTCGAAAGTCATATGGAGTGTTGAAACAACAAGGAAACAAAAACGACGGGTTTACCAGTCTATTGACCGGGTTGATTAGCTCTGGTATATAGAAGAGTTACAAGTTCTAAATACATGAATCACATGTACACATAGATGAATGATTATATATATATACATATATATATCATATGTATACCAAGCTCACCTGTAGTCTCTGCTGCTCTGCCTCTTCCTCTGCCGACATTCCCCCCGCCGCACCCTCCCCCGCTCCCCCATCCCCTTCCCCCGCTCCCCCCTCCCCGCCCTCCCCTTCGCCCCCTGGTTTCTCCTCCTCCACCTCCCCTCTCTGCGCAGCTGTCAGCACCATACCCTCCCGTATGGCCCACTTCGGAATAACCTTCATTTCTGCCGGTTTTGTCAACGCTCCTTCCCCTCCTCCTCCCCCTCCTCCTCCTCCCCCACCACCAGCAGCACCCACGTCCTCCCCTCCAATCGAAACCTCCACCTGTGTAGGGTTTGGGGAGCGAGGGGTGGGTGGGGCATGGGTAAAAAAAGGTTGTAGATGTGCTTCAAGCCCCATACCCTTGCTGCACAGCTGTCAGCACCATGCCCTCTCGTATGGCCCACTTGGGAATGTCCTTCATTTCTGCCGGTTTGGTCAACGCCCCTTCCCCTCCTCCCCCTCCTCCTCCTGCCGACCCTCCTGTTCCACCAACCACATCCTCCCTTTGAGTCGACTCAAAACAGACCCTCCTGCTCCACCAACCACATCCTCCCCTCCAATCGAAACCTCCACCTGTGTTTGGGGGAGCATGCATGGGGTGGGTGGGGCATGGGGGACGGGGGTAGTAAAGATTCAATGAAATGATCCAGTCAGCACCATGTCCTCTTGCATGGCCCACATGGGAACAAATTTCACCTCTACTGGCTTGGTCAGGTCAGGCGTCCCTTCCCCTCCCACTACTGCTGCCCTCAATGCTGAAAAAGCCTTGGAAGGGCAAAGGATTGAAATTCCACTCAACCAAAGCTTGCAAAACGTACCCGTGTCTCCCCCATGAAGATGAAGAGGAGTGGACCCAGCGCCCCTTCCCCTCCCACTACGGCTGCCCTCAATGCTGACAACGCCTTGGAAGGGTCAAGGGTTGAAATCCCACTCAACCAATCGCACCTGTAACCCTTCCCAGGGGGACAAGAGCCTTGGGAATCCCCTCTGTGTGGGCGGTGCATTGGGCTCGCACTCAGACAAGTGACACCTACCCGTGGTCTCGCCCATGAAGGGAAGAGGAGTCGACCCACCCAGCACCCCCTCCCCCCGGCCCTGCAAGACAGAGAGCCTTGGGAATCTCCCCTCTGTGTGGGCGGTGCATTGAACTCTCACCTCGACAAGGTGACACCTACCCGTGATCTCGCCCATGAAAGGAAGCACCCATGAAGGGCAGGGGGGTCGACCCAGCAGCTCCCCCTCTCCCCAGCCCCGCCAGCCGGGGGAGAGCCTAGGGGATCTCCCCCCCCACTGCGGCTGCCCTCTGTACTGTTGAAAACTAACCAGCTGACCACCACTATCAACTTACCCGTGTCTCCCCCATGAAGGGCAGGGGGGTCGACCCGGCACCCCCACCCCCCGACCCTGCCAGACAGGGGAGAGCCTTGGGAATCTCCCCCCCCACTGCGGCTGCCCTCTGTGCTGGCGATGCCTTGCACGTTTAGAGGCTTCAGCTCCCACTCAGAAAGGCACAACCCACCCACCAGTCCTCACCCTGCAATCCACCTACCCGTGTCTCCCCCATGAAGGGAAGAGGAGTCGACCCAGCACCCACTCTCCCCCCTGCGGCCCGCGGCCCCGCCAACCGGGGGAGAGACTTGGAAATTTAGAGGCTTCAACTCCCACTCAACCAAACCTTGTGAAACGTACCCATGTCTCGCCCACGAAGGGCAGGGAGGAGACGGGGGAGAGCCTTGGGGATCTCCCCCCCCACTGCGGCTGCCCTCTGTCTGTGCTGGCGACGCCTTGCAGGCTTAGAGGCTTGAATTCTTACTCTGTCTTTCCCACCCAGACAAGTGGAAGAAACGTACCCGTGTTTCCCCCATGAAGGGCAGAGGGGTAGACCCTGCACCGCCTCCCCCTGGCCCGGCCAGACGGGGGAGGGCCTTGGGGATGTCCCCCCCCACTGCGGCTGCCCTCTGTGCTGGCGACGCCTTGGCCTCCCATTCGGATAGAGACCCGAAGTAGGGCGGCGTGAGGTCCTTCACCTTCACTATCTGCTCCATCAGGGGTTTCAGTTGGCGCTGGGAGAGGGGAGAAGAGGGAGGGGAAGGGGAGGAGGCAGGGCAAGGGGATGGGAACAGGGGTGGCGACGCCTTGGCCTCCCATTCGGATAGAGGCCCCAAGTAGGGCGGCGTGAGGTCCTTCACCTTCGCTCTTTTTTAGGTGCCCCCCCAAACTCCATCAGGGGCTTCAGTTGGCGCTGGGGGTGGGGAGGAGGGTAGGTGGGTGGGTGGGAGGGCAATGAAAAAAAAAAAAAAAAAATATATATATATATATATATATATATATATATATATATATATATTCGCGCCTGTTCGCATCGAACCGCTTCGAGTTCAATTCAGCATCAGCATCATGCCTAATCTAATTTTGTCAACTCTTTTTTCCTTACGTCCACTTATGAGTCGACTCAAAACTAGTTCAATTTTGAGTCGACTCAAAACGGGTTCAGTTCAGCATCATGCCTAATCTCATTCTGTCAACTCTTTTTCCTTACGTCCACTCATCCCAACGCCCTGTCCACTCACCTCGAACCTCGCCAGCATGTTTTGAAGAGCCTCTTTCTTCTTCTTCCTTGTGTTATCCTCCCCGTCAACCCCTCCCCCTCCGCCTCCCCCTCCTCCCAGCATGTCAGATTCCGCCTCCAGCTCTGAGTGGCAGCGCTCGCACTTGAGGTTGAAGTCAACTGGGTCAATCAGCCTATCCGTATCCAGTGTGGAGTATCTGTGGACGGAGAGGCAGGGAACAGACGGACAGGCACACAGGGTCAACCCTCCCAGCATGTCTGACTCCGCCTCCAGCTCTGAGTGGCAGCGCTCGCACTTGAGGTTGAAGTCAACTGGGTCAATCAGCCTATCCGTATCCAGTGTGGAGTATCTGTGGACGGAGAGGCAGGGAACAGACGGACAGGCACACAGGGTCAACCCTCCCAGCATGTCTGACTCCGCCTCCAGCTCTGAGTGGCAGCGCTCGCACTTGAGGTTGAAGTCCACGGGATAAATGAGGTTGGCTGGGATGTGGGTGTACATCCAACCAAACACAAAGTGCAAACTACACTAAGTGCAAACTACACTAAGTGCAAACTACACAAAGTGCAAACTACACAAAGTGCAAACTACACAAAGTGCAAACTACACAAAGTGCAAACTACACTAAGCTAGGTTATAAAAAGTACAAGTAGACGACTTTTGAGACGTCTCAAAAGTACAAGTACAAAATGTGAGATTGAGGGCTGACACTAACACCCCACCCACCTGACCCACAGAAGGTTTGGGTTGGGGGTTGGGGCACAGAAGGTACATAACCTCCTTGCAACTGGCCAGCCCACAGTGGAGCAACAGCAATGGGGAGAGCAACGAAACACACCCCACCTGGCCTTGCAGTGCGGGTTGGGGCACAGCAGGTACATAACCTCCTTGCGACTGTCTAGCTCGTCCTTTATAGCCTTCTTCGCCCGGTGGATGCGGTACCTCACCACGTCATAGATCTGTCAGGTTGAGAGGCAAGTGGCATGTGGGGGAGGTAAGAACAGGGGGGAGGTCAATCTGCCTGGCAGGTACTGATGCGTGCGGTACTGATGCATGCGGTACTGATGCATGCGGTACTGATGCATGCGGTGAATAATCATGTACGTAAGAGCGGTTGTTGCAATACATACCTGGGGGTAGTGCAGGCAGCAGTAGGAGTGGGAGTGCTGCTTCGGCTTCTGCCCCGGCTTCCCTTCCCATTCTGATTACACATTTGCAGTGATGGCTGGAAGAGAGGCTGTCAAGAGGCTAGAAGAGAGGCTGTCAAGAGGCTAGAAGAGAGGCTGTCACAAAGCCCACCTGGGGGTAGTGCAGGCAGCAGTAGGAGTGGGAGTGCTGCTTCGGCTTCTGCCCCGGCTTGCCTTCCCATTTCGACCCCTCGCCTTCCCCCTCCCCTTCCTTCCCCTCCTCCCCCTCCCCCTTCAGTTTCTTGGCTGCTCTCGTGTTCTGCATAGGAAGACAGGGTTGGGGTGGTGTGTTGGGTAAACGTTGAGGGAGAGGAGAAGAGGAAAGATATATCGAAACGGGCGCACACAGCAAGCTGCTACGCTCCACTCTCTCCTGCCTCTCTATGTCTTGTCTACTCTACTGCTCTGCATAGCACAGCACTTCACTCACCACCACACCACACCACACCACACCGCACCGTAACACATGCGTACTCCTCCGTTAACGCACTCCACCACACTCACCTCCTTCCTGTGCTCGTGCACGACCATCAACTCCTCCTCCAGACTCTTCAGCGTCCGCCTCAGCTGCTTCAAGAGGTTACCATTCACTGCACCACACCGCACCACCGTATCACACAGAAACTCCACCACACCCCACCACACCACACCGCACCGCACCACACCCCACCGCACTCACCTCCTTCCTGTGCTCGCGCACGATCATCAGCTCCCTCCAGCATCTTCAGTGTTCGCCTCAGCTGCTTCAAGAGGTTACCACCCACTGCACTAAACCGCACCACCATATCACACATTAACTCCACCACACCCCACCACACCACACCGCACCACACCCCACCGCTCTCACCTCCTTCCTGTGCTCGCGCACGATCATCAGCTCCCTCCAGCATCTTCAGTGTTCGCCTCAGCTGCTTCAAGAGGTTACCACCCACTGCACTAAACCGCACCACCATATCACACATTAACTCCACCACACCCCACCACACCACACCGCACCACACCCCACCGCTCTCACCTCCTTCCTGTGCTCGCGCACGATCATCAGCTCCCTCCAGCATCTTCAGTGTTCGCCTCAGCTGCTTCAAGTGGTTACCACCCACTGCACTAAACCGCACCACCATATCACACATTAACTCCACCACACCCCACCACACCACACCGCACCACACCCCACCGCTCTCACCTCCTTCCTGTGCTCGCGCACGATCATCAATTCCTCCTCCAGCATCTTCAGTGTTCGCCTCAGCTGCTTCGGGTGCAGATGCAGCTGCCGTGCCAGCTCCTCCTCTCTCATCCACTGCCGCCTGTTGGTGGGGGGAAATAAAGGGTAAGCGTGCAACAACATTGCCATATGCCCAACTCAGCTGCTTCGGGTGCAGATGCAGCTGCCGTGCCAGCTCCTCCTCTCTCATCCACTGCCGCCTGTTTGGTGATCATTGAAAAGACCGGGAAACAGGGGACAAGGAGACATTGCCATAGGAGAAACTCAGCTGCTGCGGGTGCAGATGCAGCTGCTGTGCTAGCTCCTCCTCCCGCATCCACTGCTGCCTGGCCAGGGGGGGAAGGAGATAGGGGGGTGAAAGCAAAGAGCGACGGAGCAGAGACATGTTGTCATATAAGTCACTCAGATGCAGCTGCCGTGCCAGCTCCTCCTCTCGCATCCACTGCCGTCTGGCGAGGGGGGGGGAACGAGATAGGGAGGCGAAGGAACAAAGGCGAGTTGTTACATGATTTGACAGTTGGCTCAGAAGTAGCTGCCGTGCCAGCTCCTCCTCTCTCATCCACTGCCGCCTGTTTGGTGATCATTGAAAAGACCGGGAACCAGGGGACAAGGAGACATTGCCATAGGAGAAACTCAGCTGCTGCGGGTGCAGATGCAGCTGCTGTGCTAGCTCCTCCTCCCGCATCCACTGCCGCCTGTTGGTGATAAATAAAGAGACAGGGAATCAGAGCACAAGGATACATTGCCATATGAGCAACTCCGCTGCTTCGGGTGCAGATGCAGCTGCCGTGCCAGAAAAGCAAGGAAAAGAGTTTGTACCTTGTAAGAGCATCGAGGACGACTATAGTGAGTCCCTTGGTCTCCCCTCCGCATATTCGTTCTGCCTTGCGACTGGCGCCCTTGTCCTTCTCCTTCTCTTTCTCCTTCTCCTTCTCCTTGTCTTTATCTTTGTCTTTCTCGTCTGTCACATCGTCGTCGTAAAATGCACGAGCCACTAGCTTCACCAGCCTGCAAGAGAAGAGTGCGGGCAGACACAAACAAACAGAACTGGAATGATTTCACGAGCCACTAGCTTCACCAGCCTGCAAGAGAAGAGTGCGGGCAGACACAAACAAACAGAACTGGAATGATTTCACGAGCCACTAGGTTCACCAGCCTGCAAGAGCAGAGCGCGGGCAGAAAATAAAAGGAAGCGCAAGGAAGGAGAATTTGGTTGTATCACTAGCCACTGGCCCCATCAGCCTGAACTTATGGAAACTCTGAGAACTCTCAAAAGGATGAGGAGTAATGGGTGCAAAAAAGCAGACAAAAGCGTTGGCCTGTTTGCTCAAGCCATTGCGCCGTGTGCAGAGAAGACAACAACGAGCGGCGATGCTTGTGACAATAGCGAGATAAACAGAGAGGAGAAACCAGCGAGCACGTACCGACGGAAAGGCTCAACGCTGCTCATGGCGCTGCGCACGTGATGGACTGATTATGCGATGAGTTGAGGCGAGATTTGTCAGAACCTAACTAAATTCATGGCGTACTACGCGATGGCTTTATCATGCAATCAAAGCTGCGTTGAGGAGCCTAAGAAACGAATTGAACTCATGGCGCTTCGTACGCGATGGCCGCAACACGCGTTAAAACCCAGGGTCCACAGGTTTCAAAGGTAGGAAGGTTGGTTGGACTTAGTGACAAAACCAAAGGTAGGAAGCTTGGTTGGACTTTGTGACCCAACCAAAGGTAGGAAGGATGAGGCAAACTCGGGATACTTGAGACTCCGGTTTTAAAGTGAGCTGGAAAATCTTATAATCTAGCTGCGCTCGTGACGCTGCTGCTCATAGCGGCGAATACACAATCAGTTGCAGGAACTAGCTGAGCGCGTGACCATGCTCACAACTGGTACGCGGTGCCTACTCCCTCGAGCTCCAACCGCGGCGCCACTGTTCTTCACTCAGTCACGGAGACAGAGCTATTGCAACGCAGATTAAATCACTCGTGGCGACCGGCCTAGGTTCTCCGAAGGCCCTGGTTTCACGGGGGTGAGTGGGAGAGAGCGAGCGCCTTGGGAACTACTAGTTTAGCTGCGCTACTCGCCTTTTCTGTTCACCATTCTTTTCATAGGCTAACCCGCTTCTAGAACCTAGCAAGGTGCTACTAGTGCATTTGAACTTATTACATCTGTGTAACTTGGATGTTAATATACTAAAAAGGGATGATTGATACATTGTGTATTCATCCGGGAAGAATAGATGAAACTGAATAAAAATTAATCAGGTAAGCCACATCTCAATTGAGCAGAGATTCTATTTCTTTGACATTTTGAAGCTATTATATACATTCAAAATTTGCAGAAACAAACAATAATTTCTATACACATTTCTTTCCGCTCGTTCATGCTTATAATACTAACGCATCTCACAGAAAACAGGTTAGTCCCGCTCTGACAGCACCTTCCCTCGCTGCAGTCACATTCTTCCCGCACTTTTCAACAAATTTTGAATCCTAGGTGGAGGTCCTGGGTATCCCCAAGAACAAACGATTCAGTGGTATTTCCGTCTTTCGCAATCGCAACATGCACTCCAGTTTCCCTCCACCTCCCTCGGGGATTCCGACGCTTTTCTTAGGAGCAACTATTTCTCGGAAATAAGTGCAGATAGTCTTTCTCGTCAGTTCCCGCCGAACTTTCCAGTAGATTCAACATAGACGTCGCTAATAAGTCCAGATAGGTCCAGTAGATTGATTCAGAAAAAAGAACAGAAGCCTAAGGTCCTCCGACCCCGTCGAGCATCATTGTCCTAATCCAACTCCGTTGGACATAGCGGAATTCTCGCCTCACTGAATATCCTAATCTAGCACCGCTAACCCGTCAAACATCCTTGTCCGAATCTGCCTAGAAGGAAGCATAATTTGCCGTATCCCATCTTTGAGGCGCCTCAAAAATTGCCTAGAAGGAAGCATTTTTCGCCGTAACCCATCTGAAATGGATGTAGCAGAGGTGTTGCCTCACTCCGGCGCCTGCAGCCTCTCTCCCGACGGCCGGTGCCTCGCCGTCGCGCAGGGGAAGAAGCTACACCTGCGCTCAGTACCGTCTCTCGAGGCAAGTACCGTTGTGCTCTAGGTACTGTTCAATTTTCTGTATTCACCAAACACTCTCCCCCGGCGGCCAGTTCGTCCCCGTCGCGCAGGGGAGGAAGCTTCACCTGCGCTCCGTACCGTCTCTCGAGGCAAGTACACTGATTCGAGCAACCATTCCATGCTTGCCTCGATAGCTGGCTGGTACTGACACTTTGAACCAGCAGTCTCGAATAGTTTATATCTGAATCAACGTAAATAAGAAGCTTCTGATTCGTCTGAAAGATCTGGCTGGTGCCGATACCAGCACCAGGAGAGTCTGATCAGTCAGAAGCGCTTCCGTCACATGTTGATTTCCTGTAGTTCAAAGGCACATCTTCAAGTAACGTACCAACCTTTGAGAATGCAAAAGAAAAGCTCACTCTTTTCGTGCCCGCTTCCCCCCCCCCCCCCCCCTACCCCTCCTCACCCCCCACACTCCTCCCCTCCCTACCTGTCAATTTGTGATCTCTGTCCCCTGTATGCGCCCACTCAATTCAACTACAGGACCTCCGAACGTGCACCTGCACAGGGCCGATCTCAGCCGTCGAATGGGCTCCTGATTCCTCGATGGTATTCGCAGCTTGCTACTCACAAGCTACAGTGCACGTAAGCTACAGTTTATGTAAGCTGCATTGCAGGTGAGCTATGGTTAAAGTGCTGTTAAGAAACAGTGCGTGTAAATTACAGTGCATAGACGGATCTAATTGGCCATAAAGTACAATAGCAGGCACCTCATCGCCGCTCATTGCATGTGAAACCCTTTCTGCATATCAAACCCTTTCCCTCGGGTGTGGTTGTTGGCGCTCCCTGATTGGTCCGCCGCAGTGCGTGAGGACGAGGCAGCAGTTCTTCTGCATGGCACGTGGCCCCCTCACTCCACGTACACACCCTGACCCTCCCTTATCGCGTTGGACACCTTCTATTGCGTATGAACCTCCTCTTATTTCAGGTGTGGGCTGTGGCGCTCCCTGACTGCTCCACCACAGAGCACGAGGTCGAGACAGCAGGCCTGCTGCACGCCCCATGGACCCCGCACTCCACACCCTCAGCCTTTTCTCCTTTATATGAACGTATGAAACCCCTTCCTTCTCTCCCCTTTCTCTCCCTTAACATGTACACGACACCCTCGTTTCAGGTGTGGGCGGTGGCGCTCCCTGACTGGTCCGCCACAGTGCGTGAAGACGAGACAGCAGGCCTGGTGCACGCAGCATGGGCACCGGACTCGACCCACCTGCTGCTCTCCGCCGACCACAGGCTGCGTGTGACTATATGGAATGTGACATCGAGGTAAGCATACGGGAGGTGGCTTCCAGGTGACCATATAGCTAAACAGATTGTTCCGTCTTGCACGAGGACGAGACAGCAGGCCTGCTGCGCGCCTCGTGGGCTCCGGATTCCACCCCCCTGCTGCGCGCCTCGTGGGCTCCGGACCACAGGCTGCGTGTGACTATATGGGATGCGACTTCCAGGTGAGTGTATGGAACGTCACTTCCAGGTGAATATATGCAACGTCACACATCCAGCTGACCATGTGAATACCAGTGCAAATCCTCTCGCCCAAACACCCAGTACGTGCCCTCGCCTTCTCCCCAAACCACCTGATCCGTTCCATTGACTAATACATTTCCTCTGCTTCTTTCTCCCTTCTCCCTCCCCTGCCAAATCCCACAGCCATTCACCCCCAGTGCACATCCCCCTGCCCAAGCACCCCATACGTGCCCTCGCTATCTCCTGCAATGACTCCTTCACTACAGTGCCTTACCGTCCACTTGTTTCTTTTGTCTTTCCCTCCCTTCCTCATTTCTCTCTTCTCCCTTCCCTTCCCCACCCCGCCCCTTCCCCACCCCACAGCCAGTCTCCCCCTGTGCACATCCCCTGCCCACGCACCCTGTGCGCGCCCTCGCCTTTTCCCCCAACCACCGCGACTGTTCCATCGCCTAAATGATCCCCTTTGCTCCTTTTTTCCTCTCCCCCCTCTCGTTTCCCCACCCCACAGCCATTCACCCCCAGTGCACATCCCCCTGCCCAAGCACCCCATACGCGCCCTCGCTTTTTCCCCCAACCACCTACTCCTAGCGGCCCTCCACTCCCTCCCATCCAATCAGAGCATGCCACCTGCCGCTGCCGCCCCAACTGCTGCTACTGGGGTTACAGAATCTGGGTCTGCTGCTGCTGCTGCTGGTATCGCTACTGGTGCTGGTGCTGCTGGTATCGCTACTGGTGCTGGTGCTGGCAGTGCCAATGCTAGAAGAACGAGTGAGAGCTCTGCTGTCGGGGTGGGAGGGGTGCAAGGAGGTAGAACAGAGGCAAGAGGAGGAGCACGAAGAGCATCTGCTGTAGCAGGGGGAGGAGGGGGAGGGGGAGGGGGAGCAACGGGGCAGAGTCGTGACGTGGTGAGCCTGTACGCCTGTGACACGTGGCAGGAGGTTGTTTGCTTCCGCACGGACACTGTGGACGCTGCTGACGTGGCATGGGCGACTGAGGGCAGTGGGGTTATCGTCTGGGATCACCCAATGGAATTCAGGGTACGTGAGCTATCTTGGACGAAAAAAATATTTTGGCTACATCTTATCAGGTGAATTCAGCTATCGTGTCGACCGTTGATGGGCAGCAAACGCGAGTTTAGCTACATCTTATAACATCTCCCTCCCTTTCTTCCACCTTTCTCTCCTTTCTAACCCACTAGCTGCTGTTCTTCTCACAATCCGGAGAGCCCCAAACCCACAGTTGCACTGAGTTGACCTAGCCAGGGCTAGGATTCAGAATGCGCACCTTATTTCATTACCGTCAGCACCTCCTCTACCCCTCTCTCTCCCTCTTCCGCCCTTCCTCTCACTCACCTTCTCATCCCCACCAGCTGCTGCTCTTCTCCCCCTCTGGAGTGCCCCAAGCACGCATAGAGCTGCCCTGGCCAGGGCTGGGGGTCAGGGCTGTTATCTCAGTTTACTTGCCCAATTACTCTCAACACCTCCTCACATCCGCTTTCCCCATCTCTACTCTCACTCAACCCCCATCACCCCCACCAGCTGCTGCTCTTCTCACCCTCTGGCGAGCCCCAGGCACGCATAGAGCTGCCCTGGCCAGGGCTGGGGGTCAGGGCTGTTGCCCCCTCCCCTGCCTTTTCACTTGGCGCTGATTCGGGCTCCATTGCCCACTGCAACGCCAACAGCAGCAGCAGCAGCACAGGTGGCGGTTCAGGTGCCCTGCCAGGTGCTTCTTCAGGTGCTCTGGTGGCGGTGGGTTGTTCGGCCGACCGCCTACTGCGAGTCCTTCGTGCGGCGGACGGGCGGCCTGTAGTGGAGCTGCCACACGCGCCAGCTATCAAAATTCCATTGGCTGCTGCCACCGTTGTGTATGAGGTGGGTGGGGAGTGACGTTTGAGGCGCCTCAAGAGGCGGGTGGGGAGTGGGGTATGCGTACATGTGTATGAGAGACAGTGGGAGATGTGTGCGCGTGCTCGGGGACATGCTTACTCTCACTGTACAATATGTGATAAAGTTTGACGTATTCTAACAAACAAAATTGCACTGTAGACGACTTTTGAGGCGCCTCAAATCAAATGTGTGTGTTTGCTCGGGGACATGCTTACTCTCACTGTACAATATGTGATCAACTTCAACGTATTCGAATAAATAGAGTTGCACTGTAGTGAACCAGAACGTTTGCTGCAACTGTGCACCCCTGCCAAACCATCGCTCACCTGCCTCACTCCACTCCTCCTGCCCCTCAGGAATGCCTTGGAGTCTCAGAAGCTGCCACCACCATGGCCTTTGAGTTGTCTCAAAACCCACCCCTTTCAACTCCTTTGCACCCCATCCGTGTCATCACTCCACTCCGCCTGCCCCTCAGGAATGCCTTGGAGTCTCAGAAGCTGCCACCACCAGGGCCTTTGAGTTGTCTCAAAACCCACCCCTTTCAACTCCTTTGCACCCCATCCGTGTCATCACTCCACTCCACCTGCCCCTCAGGAATGCCTTGGAGTCTCAGAAGTTGCCACCACCATGGCACCAGGTGCGTTGTATCCTGATACCATGTGATAAGTGTGTGAGGCTTTTTCTGAGACCATGTGAGCAGTGTCTGATACCATATAAGGTTCGTCCTGCATGTGTGATGTTACACTGCATATGGTATGCCGGACATTTCTGCTCTGATTGGGTCTTTCGTAAATTCATGCCTTTTATATTTTAGCAAGGAGACACAGCACGTTGGGTTGAAGGACTATATGTTCCCCTGCAGGAAGATATGTTAAAGGACTATATATGTAATATATATATATATATTCTTCAACCTGCTCTTTTGCTTGCAGATGCCACTGAGGAGGAAGATGTGGAAATCGTTTCGTACCGGGTGCTTGAGCTGCCCGTTCACCTGCCCGTCCAAAAGCCTCCAGTGGACAAGCCCAACCCGAAACAAGGAGTTGGTAAGTCTGTGCTTGAGGTGTGAATACTGATTCTTAAAAAAACTAATAATAACAAGAAGTCGGTAAGTCTGTATTTGAGGTCAATGTTAAGTGTAGTAGAAACCACCTCCAGTTCCTAAAACAAGCAGACGGTAAAGACGTGGTTTGGGTGATTGAGATTGGCAGCTGAAATTGGCTAGCTTGACTGAGGTTGACTGAGATTGGCTGAAATTGGCTGAGATTGGCTGAGATTGGCTGAGATTGGCTGAGATTGGCTGAGATTGACTGAGCTTTGCTGAGTTCTCTCCTCTCCCCTCCTCTCCTCTCCTCTTCTTCCCTCACACCCTCCATCACCACCGCTCCCATCTCCCCTTCCAGGCCTCATACAGTGGAGTGCACATGGGAAGTATCTAGCCACACGCTGCGATACCCATCCCAAACACCCCGCCCATCCGCACCCCAACACCCCAACCCCCCACCATCTCCCCCCGCAGGCCTCGTAATGTGGAGTGCAAATAAGAAGTATCTAATCACGCGCTGCGATGACATCCCAACTCAAACACCCCACCCATTCCCCAACCCCAACACCCCAACCCCCCTCCATCTCCCCCTCCAGGTCTCATACAGTGGAGCGCCAACGGGGAGTACCTAGCCACGCGCTGCGATGACATCCCGACTGTCCTTTGGATCTGGGCGGCACGGCGCAAGTTTGAGCTGGCGGCGGTGCTGCTGCAGCGTCAGCCAATCAGGGACGCTGCCTGGCACCCGTCGGTTCCCTCCATTGCATTTTGCTCCGGTACACCACATTTATTTACGTGGAAGCCGGTAAAAGCAAGCGATGGTCAGAGCAAGAAAAGGGTTGATGATGGTGGAAGCATGGAAGGGGTTGATGGTGCTGGAGCAGCAGATGCACTAGTACAAAAGGTAAGGGTGAGTAGCAGTTCCGCATCTACGTTTCGTGTGCGGGACGGCATGGCTGTTTGTGATTTGGAGTGGGACAAAGAAGGTCGGTGCATTTTGTTGAAGGACAAGCAAAAGTGCTGCATTGCACTGCCTGCTTTTCATACCTCAGATTGAAAGTGCAACGAGTTTTGTTTGTGGCTGCTGTTTATACATATTTTTGGCGGCTAGCTTGTTACAATCAGTATCCAACGAGGGCGACACAATTCTCGCTTTAGCATGTCTTGCTAAAGCTCGTTACGAGCTGTACAAAACCGCTTTACTGCAAAATAATAACGTTCCCAACCAAGAGGTTTGAAGCAGGGCACAATCTGTTTGCTTTCTGTGTCGACCCTTTTCGAAGGGCTGATGGAACTCGCCTCAGTTTTCAGGTGTCTTACAGATATAAATTACCCAACCGACAATGGCTCGGGAGATGACGAACCACAATCCGATTACGCTGTCGTTTTTTGGCGGAGTTGTTGAGAACACCATGAAATATCAGGACTCTGTAATAAAGACAATTTCTATCCTTACCCTGACATGGGCTACGGCGGTTCAATTCCTCTGTTGACCTTGACTTGGTGTGCTGTGTGCACCATGACTCACGGTTTGGGATGGGATGCTATGAACCCATGGATGCCACAGAAAGCATAACTACAGACGCCTGGGAAAGTTGGTTGCTGGAATATATTTTCCGGAGTAGAGATTTCGCTGTTGGGAAGCAGCAAGGGACGGCATTCGTGCGTTCTCTAGCAGCTCTCGGGAAGATTGCGACTCGGAAATTCAGAGTAAGACGAAGGGATACATATTACGAACTGAAATTGTAAACTTCGACGCGGAATCTCTCACGACGCTGCCTCCACGAGCATTTTTCAATTCCATTATGGTTGTTGTGTATCTCCTCATCAGATTTCTGGGTTTTTTTCTGGAAGCAGATCTTCCGTCCCTTGCGTTGCTCTGTCTCGACGAGGCGTGACGACGAGCCGCGAAGACGAGGCGTGAAGAAGCAGCCATGGATGCGCTAGACGAGCTCATGAAGCTGCAGGTGAGCCTTCTCACGTCGCATGAAACAGTTTTGTGAGTCGACTCAAAGGTTACTTGCGTTGCTTCGTCTCAACAAGACGCGTACCGCAGCCATGGATCCGCTAGACGAGCTTATGGAACAGTGGGTTGTCTTTCTGTCATCCCGCTTTCCGTCTGCTATTAGACGCTACTAGACGAGCATATGAAGCCGCAGGTTAGCTCTTCTATCATCCCGCTTTCTGTTACCTGTTAAACGAGCTTCAGTTGACGAGACCAACTATAACAGAGCCCGTGGAAGCAAATCGTTAGTTGTGTTGAGTCCCTTTGAGTCGTTTGTGTTGAGAGATTTAAAAAATATGTCTTTCTATTTGCTGTTCTATTTTTCACATCTGCTTGAGAAAATGGTTCTTCACTTTGTATCAGTTTGCTTCACCCTCTTCCTATCTTTTTTTCTCTCTCTCAGGAGGAGTACGACAAACTCGAATCCGTTTACAACGCGGATGTTTCCAAGGCTCTTAAGGCTTATCAGCGAACATGCGACCCTCTCTTCGAGGTATTCTCTTCTCTCCTGGGCATCCCCAAGTTTCATCCAATCAATTCCCCAGTTCCGGCTGTTGTTTTATCATATGCAATCGTATGCATGCATGTCTCTCCAATCTATCTATCATATGCATGCATGTCCTGACTACATGTTGTTTTTTAATGGACGTGGAAATCCACCGGTTAAAGCCGGCGGCCCAAATTGTTCATGCTTTTAAAAGTTGACCAGAGGGAGTTTTTCTGGTGTGGGCTTTGGCGAGAGTTTCCGATTTCGTCTAGGTTCGTTTTTTTCGCGAGACCCAGCCAACCCTCGGTTTTCCCCCTGGTGAGTGAATCTGTCTTCGAAAGTCCCAAATTGCAAGTGCGTGACTTTCAAAAGCTTGGACACTCAACTTCGTCAAGTTTTAAAAACTTGACCCTCGCGGCCCGCAATTTGGGACGCGGGCTTTAATCCAATCATCCTTCCACCCACCTGTCAAAATCTGTCTCTGTAAACCAGAGGCGAAAGCAAATCGTGTGTGGAGAATCAGAGCCGACAGAGGAGGAGGCAACCGTTGCAGACCCAGAGGAGGAAGATGCAGGGGAAGAGGAGGAGGGAGGAGGGGAGCAGCAGCAGCAGCAGCAGCAGCAGCAGCAGCAGCAAGGAGGGAAGGTCACGAAGGAGCCTAAAGGCGTGCCCAAGTTTTGGCTCACTGTCTTAAAGAAGCATGTACGTGGATCCTTCTGTTGACACAGAATTCCAGGTAACTCTTGAATTGATTCAATCGATTTGGCCCAAGATAACAGGGTTATTCTCAAGCGAGACGCGAAGGCTTTGGGGAGCCTAAGATAACAGGGATATAGATTGGTTTTATGCCTACCCTCTCTTCTCTCTCTGTTCTCAGCTCTCCTCCCCTCCCCTCTCCCTCACAGGATGCTGTTTTGGAGTTCATTCGCAAGTGAGACAAGGAGGCATTGGAGAGCCTAAGGGACGTGCGTGTGCAGATGATACCTTGACTCGCCTCACTCTATTCTCCCCTCCCCTCCCCTGCCCTCATAGGATGCTGTAGTGAAGTTCATCCACAAGTGAGACGAAGAGGCATTGGAGAGCCTAAGATAACAGGGATACAGATCGGTTGACTCTGTTGACTCTCTTCTCCCCTCCGCTCCCTGACCTCACAGGATGCTGTAGCGGAATTCATCCACAAGCGGGACGAAGAGGTATTGGAGAGCCTAAGGGACGTGCGTGTGCGCCTCACGTCTCCTTCTAAGGGCGCTAGTAAAGCAGCTGGTGACAGTACTGGTGCCTCTGATAAGGGCACAGTCGGGACAGTCACGCGCCTGGAGCTACACTTCGGCCCCAACGCGTTTTTCTCTAACAAATCGCTCTATATCGAGACGGTGGAGGTGGCTACAGGAGGAGGCGGAGACGAGGGGGAAATGGGGGAAGAAGAGGGGGAAGGGGGCGGAGGGGGAGGGGGAGGGTCGGTGGTGGTGGTGAAAGAGGTGTCCGAAATTCAGTGGAAGGGCATTGAGAAGAATCTGACTCTGCGACAGATTGTGAAAGCTGGGAAAAAGGGAAAGGTGAGTTGACTTTGTCCTGGTTGCTTGGGTTTAGGGAGTTGGTGAACCCAGCTGATTGGATAGACTGTTGTACGCTGATGCTGCTCGTGAAGTCTGGGAGGAAGGGGAAAGTGCGTTGAACCTGGTTGGAGCTGTCAAGAGAACCTGGTTGGAGCTGTCAAGAGAACCTGGTTGGAGCTGTCAAGAGAACCTGGTTGGAGCTGTCAAGAGAACCTGGTTGGAGCTGTCAAGAGAGGACAGGTGGGCTGCGGGGGCCTTACTTCCATCAACTCGTGTTGTTTAGGATAACGAAACAAACTCCATGAATATGGCGGAAAGTGAGTTGAACCTGGTTGGTTGATGAATTTGGCTGATTGGATAAACTATTGAACCTGGTTGGTTGATGAATTTGGCTGATTGGATAAACTATGTGACCTTGCTTAGAGAGGGGGGATGAAATGAGCTGATTGGATAGGTTATATGATGTCGAGGCCCCTTTTGAGAATTCTCAAAACCGTCTCAAAAGAGAATTCTCAAAAGCGTCTCAAAAGAGAATTTTCAAAAGGTTATATGATGTTGACGCCCCAGCCGCAATCAAGACCAAGCCCTGCTCTTTCTTCTTCAGATTCTTCGCTCCCTCGTGTTCCTGTTCTCTTGCCGTGCACTGGCTCGGGTGTAACTCGAGCCATAAGCCAGTTGACGACACAGTTCGGCTCGCCCTGAGTCGACCCAACTCGGCTTCGAAGCTTTGCGAACCACAGTCGGCTCGAGGCGAGCCGTGCTCATGTCTACTACAAGACATGGTGTCGCAGCAGGGCCGGCTGCGGGACGCGGAACGTGATGACTTTTGGGTCGGCTCGAGACGAGCCGTGCTCATGTCTGCTACAAGACAGTGGTGTTGCAACAGGGCCGGCTGCGGGACGCGGAACGTTGTTTGGAGGATCGGGAGAAGAATATTGACGGGCTGAAGCGCTTGCTGTAGGAGTCTATTGAAAAGCGGTGGTGACAATAGAAGCAGATCAAGCAGATTGAGTGTGAGTTGATCTGCTTGGTCTGTCGTCACCGCTTGTCAGTGGGACTCTTCAGCAGGAAATTCAGCCTGTCTGTTTCGTTTCGAGTGTGAGTTGATTTGCTTGGTCTGTCGTCACCGCTTGTCAGTGGGACTCTTCAGCAGGAAATTCAGCCTAGTCTGCTTGGTCCATCTGCTTGGTTTGCCGTCACCGCTTGTCATTGGGCTTCTTTAGCAGGAACTTCAGCCTGTCTGTTTCCTTTTCCCGATTTTCCGTATGGCGCTCTGCGTCTCGCAGCCGACTCTCTAACTGCGACACCACTCTAGCCAAAGTCAGCGATTTTTGTGAACATGCTTCAAGGATGAGTCTTAAAAAGCCTTGGATCCTTTAGTCAACGACACAGTTCGATCGTCTCGACCCCATTCCTCTTCTTCCCCCCCCCCCCCGCCTCCTCCTTATGTTTTTCCATCACAGGGTGGCAAGGGGAAGAAAGGAGAAGGAAGGGAAGCTGTACCTCCTGCCACAGTCCAGATCAAGCCCTGCCCTTCTTTCTTCAACTTCTCCATTCCCTCCCTCGTTCCCTTTCTCTTGCAAGCAACCCCTTTCCCCTTGTTCTTGTGCTACCCTCCCTTTGTTTTTCCATCGCAGGGTGGCAAGGGGAAGAAAGGAGCAGGTAGGGTAGCCGAGCCTCCCGCGACAGTCAAGACCAAGCCCTGCCCTTCCTTCTTCAACTTCTTCACCATTCCCTCCCTCGTTCCCTCTCTCTCGCAAACCCCTTCGCCTTGTTCTTGCCCTTGGCCCCCTTCCTATCACAGGGAGGTAAGGGGAAGAAAGGAGCAGGTAGGGAAGCCGAGCCTCCCTCAACAGTCAAGACCAAGCCCTGCCCTTCCTTCTTCAACTTCTTCACTCTCTCGCGTAACATGCGGGGCAATAAAGCCACCGCCCAGCTCAGCAGCAAAGGGGGGAGGAGCAGAGGGGGGGACGGAGACGAGGGGGATGAGGGGGAGGAGGGGGATGAGGAGGCGGATGAGGAGGGAGACGAGGGTTTGGAGGGTATGCCTGTGTTGGGGGGGGAGGATCTGGGGGAGGTGGTTCTGAAGGTGCCTCAGGAGCGGGTGTTATCTGATGGCAAGATGGACGTGTGGCAAGCGCTGTGCAACGAGGTGCGTGTCGGTTTAGTGGGGTGCAATGGTGTGAGGTGCGGTGTAGTACAGTGAATCTTGTGAAGCGGAATGGGTGGGTAACATGGTTACATGTGGGTGTTTTCTGATGGGAAGATGGACATCTGGCAGTCGCTGTGCAACGAGGTGCGTGCCGGTTTAGTGTGGTGGAATGGTATGTTGTGTGGTACAATGATGTGCGGTGGGGTGTGTGGCTGATGATGAGACGTATATCTTTGCAGCGTGTGTTTTCTGGTGTCAAGGTGGACTGCGCATAGGCATGGTGAAATGAGGTGAATGGCAGTTCAGTGCGGTGCAATGCAATCCTTTGTGTGTGTTACGAGGCATACTATGTCAGTTTGATTTGATTTGATTTGATGGCGGTGCTGGTGATTTGATTTGATTCTCCCACAAGCTGTGGTGTTGCTTTTAATCCAATCGAGCCCCACTTAGTCACAATCAAACTCAAAAGTCGCAAAGTTATTTCAGACTTGCACCCTCAGACTCTCCCACAAGCTGCGGTGTTTCTTTTAATCCAATCGAGCCCCACTTAGTCACAATCAAACTCAAAAGTCACAAAGTTATTTCAGACTTGCACCCTCAGACTCTCCCACACGCTGCGGTGTTGCTTTTCATCCAATCGAGCCCCACTTAGTCACAATCAAACTCAAAAGTCACAAAGTTATTTCAGACTTGCACCCTCAGACTCTCCCACAAGCTGCGGTGTTGCTTTTCCTGTCCCTTCCCCTCCACCCACGCTCTCTCTCTCAACACTCAGGTGAATCCTGCTAGAAATATATATTGTAGCATGCCAACACTTGTGACTGTACACCAATTGTGCTGTACAGTTAGGTTGGGACTACACCCAACTTTGGGTGTAGTCTTGCATTGTGGGGTGCCAATCCACCCAATTGTGGTGGAGCCCCCAAATGCAACCCCCTTGGCTTAAGGTTGCCTCGCTTCCCACAAGTGAGGCCAATCCACCCTATGGTCAACTTCACCCTTCTCTTCCATCTATGTATGCTAGTTCTTACTCTAATCAAGTAATCGGTTCCATTTCCTACTTTCACAATACCTAGAGCAGCTTACCTGTTCACGAGCACAGCCTTCGTGGAGGAGGATGGGGGCGGTGGTGGTGATGGGTGGTGATGTTTCCACGAACCCACCCCTCCCCTCCTCACCTCTGCCCCCCACACACACCCGCTCAGGTTGTACCTAGAGCAGCCGATCTGTTCACGAGCACAGCCTTTGGGGAGGAGGACGGGGGCGGTGGTGGTGATGATGATGATGATGATGATGATGCTGACGTGGCAGATGAGGAGGGGTACGAGCATGTTCAGCGCCCATCATCCGGACCTCATCGGCTGGTTCGGCGCCGGATCAGGTGTGTGTGTGTGTGCGTGCGTGCGTGTGTGCGTGCCTGCGCGCGTGCGTGCGTGTGTGTGCATGCAAGTGTGTGCATTTGAGAGCCTGTGTGCATTTGTATATGTGCTTCCTTTCTCAATTGTTAGGACGGTTTTCCTCTTTACTCCCTTCCTGCACTGTCTACCCTAGTTCCTTACCATGAAGGCACCAGTGGGGATATATTAGGAGTAGCCAGTTTTTTTTTTTTTTTTTTTTCTCCAGTCCCCTCCTCTCCTTCTTTCCGTGCCTCCCTTTCCCCTTCCATTCACTTCAGAGCGTTGAAGCACCTGCAGCGGAAGCAGCAGCAGGCAGAGCGCACGAGGGAGGCAGCCATTGCTGGTGCTCGCGCCTCTCTGAGTGAACGCTCTTCAGGCATCTTTGTGCGGCGCAAGGCGGTGGTTATCGGTTCCAAGGCCCTTGACAGGTGTGTAGTGTGGTATGGTATGGTTTGAGGTATTTAACCAGGTGCATGGTTTGGTTTGGTAGTGTAGGTCTTGAACCACATTCAGGGTGGTTTAGGGACCAGAGCGCTGCGTGCGCCTCCCTGAGTGATAGCTCTGCTGGCACTAAGATATCTTAGTTCGATGCAAGGCACTGGCTGTGGGCCCCTTTTGAGACGTCTCCCTCTGGATGTCTACCCTTTTCCTGCAGAGGGGAACCTGCTTTGTCCTCCTGGCTCCGCGCTTCTTGCTCCTTGTCTTGCGCTCTGTCCCCTGCCTTGTTGAGACCATTCGCCGCCACAACCTTTTGCAAACCTCTTTCCACTACTATTTCCCCCCTCGTTTCTACTCCTTCCCTCGCAGCGGGGATCCCTCGAGGGTGGTTGAAAACATTCGCCGCCGCGACCACCCTCTTGAAAGAAGGAGTGTTTTGAGACGTCTCAAAACACTCCTTCTTTCACGAGGGTGGTCGAAAACATTCGCCGCCGCGACCACCCTCTCTTCGTACCCTCTTTCCACCAATATTCCCCCCATCCCTCTCTTCCTCCCCCCCACAGCGGTGATCCCTCCCTCGCCCGCCTCCCCCGCTTCTGGCTTCTCGTCCTGCGCTCCGTGCCCTGCCTCGTTGAGACCATTCGCCGCCGCGACCACCCTCTCCTCGCACACCTCTCTGACATTCGCTGGAGGCCACTCAAGGGGAGAGAAGGAGGAGAGGGAGAAGAGGGAGGAGAGGAGGGAGGGGAGGAGGGGGATGGGGAGAGGGGAGGAGATGGAGGGAAGGGCGAGAAAGCCGAGTGTGGGAAGGGAGAGTCGGGGTTTGTGATAGATTTCGAGTTCCTGCCCGGATGCAAGGAATGGATGGCCAATCGCGTGCTCTCAAAGGCGTATTTTTTCCGAACCCGGGCAGCCAGTGGTGGTGGTGGCGGCGGCACCGGCGCAGGAGGCTCGGCGGGCACCGAGGCTGGGGCGTTGGCTCGGGTGGAGTGTAGGACGCCGATAGTGTGGGAGGAAGGGATGGAGTTGACGCTGAAGGAGGTGCAGGACAGCAAAGGGCGGCTGCGAGTCAAGCCCTGCCCCAGGTATCATTTTCTCCAGGTACCACCTGCCCCAGGTACTGTGTTACTCCATGTGAGGTGCAAGAAATCTGGCTTGTCCTTGGTTGTTCTGCAAGTACTCTTGTGACTTCTGGTGCTGACATCATCCCCCCTACATATTCTCCCATTTGCAGCTTCTTCCAGCTGTTTGACAACAATCGCTGCCACCTGGCGTTTGCTGGTGACGAGGCGGTCCACCTGCCGGCTTCCGAGTTGCTGGATAGGGAAGCTGACGTGGCACTGGCCCTGCGTGACGTGGCGATCCCGCGTGCTGCTGAGCTGTACAGGCAGGCAAAGGAGTGGGATCATGGGGATGAAGAGGATGAGGAGGAAGAAGAGGGCGAGGAGGAGGAAGTGGAGTCAGGAGAAGATGATTATAACGGAGACAAGGTAAGTGGATTTGTACCCCCTTTTAACTACAAATGTTATGCTGTATGTTTTCCTTGTCAAGTTCTCTGCTCATCCTTGTTTGTTCCTGTGTGCATTTCTTTCATAGCTCCTTCTATATGAACCACCGGTATGCTTTTCTTTGTCCATATGACTCCTGTTCATATGCCCCTCGTTTCCTTGCTGTGCCCTTCATTACAGCCGAAGGGAGCTTTGAGTGACGCAGCTATTCGGAAGAAGCTTCTGGAGAGGAAGAAGAGGAAGAAGCGGGGAGGGAAGGATGGAGATGAGGACGATGATGTGCGCATATGTGGCCTGCCAAGGAATGTTGCGTATGGCCTGCTGCTTCTGCTTGTGTTCTCGGCTCCATTCATAATTTTCCTTGATGAGGTTCTTATGCGCTTGGGGTTGTGATGCATCAGTGCCATACCATCCTTTTTACCTTTTTTCATAAGTTTTAGAGTTTGAAGTTTCAAACTGTAACGTGACTCTGTTTGAAGCCTTGGACGAAGGGTACGCGTCTGTAGAGTGTATTGAAGCTCTACAATTGTTCGCTGGGGCAGTATCACTGTAGGCGATTCGAAGTGCAAAACGCACAAGGTCTCTCAAGGTTGTCGGCCATACAGTAACACTGCAACTCGCATTTTGTGATTCTAGTTTCCCCCCTTGATTTCCCGATACACCGTAGTCATAAACATCGATATTCATTTAGAGTATCAAGGTTAACTAATATGTGCGATCGCCAAGAGGATCAGTTTTTGCAATGTAACGCAAAAAAGGAGAAACAGTATTTTTTTTTTTGCAGATGCCACAAATCAAATGCTTTGCTTTCGAAATGGTGGTCCAGACCATACCAGACAAAGCCGTACACTCGGCCGTCAGTTTCGTCGTTTCCGGTTCCCCAGCAGTTGGGACTGCATTGACTTGGGTTGTGCTCCATATTTTTTCGTGTTGTCGGATCGCGGATTCTCTCATCGAATCGGCCACTACCTGAAAGCGGGAACATGTAGCCCGCGCACGTAATTGGTAGCCGAGCGTCCCGCGCCCCGTGCCGGGGAGTCGAAGATTTGAAATCCATCGCATGACCACCACAAGATCGCAAGTCGTCGTAAGAGATCGCGATAGGTGACGTGGAAGCTGTTTGTCGCAACCATTCCTAGCCGCAACTGTCGTTCAAGCTCCCTCTTCTTCAGCCGAGCTGTCGCAAACGTCGTTCACGTCGACGATCAGTCCCTTTTCGATGGGGAGCATGTCGCACGGGCTGCGACCAGATGAGGCTTGTGCGACCGCCCGTCCCACATTCTTATCAATTCGCCCCTCCGGCATATCTTCCGCTGCGGCTAAATTTGAACACATTTCTCGGATGCCTTTCCCGAAACGCAACTGCCAAAGTTGCTCCTTGTAACCGTACTAAAAGCCTGATTTTGTTTTATGCACCACGTTCCAGCTCATTTCAAACCACGATTTGCACAACCACGCCGCACGGCGCAAGGAAACCCATACACCATGCGCAGCCACTCGAACCACGGCGGCAAAGCACCAAAACAATCATCCAGCAACTGATGCTACCCAAACCCGACCCCAAGCCATACACCCACAACCCCACCTCGTCCTTTCTCGCTCACGAGTCATGACCACGACCCGCCCGTCGGCTGTCCGCCAAATCCCGACGTCATGCGACTGGAAGTCAATCCTGTCCCTCAGTTAGGTTACTTCCTCTGCTTCTCCTAGCCCGTCACGACGGGAAGCAAGGTGGCTGCAGAGAACACACAGGCGATCAACCAACCAAGCGTCACCTCACAAGCCAGCAGCTGACTTCCTTCTAGCTGGCCCCTGCTCACATGCCATTACGCTTCTGCGTGTCTCGTCGTACAGTCTGATTTGAATGTCTCGATTCTAGAACCAGGAGAGGCGCGAATCTTCCGTCAGTCTAGGAGATTATCCATGCGCTCGGGACCGCATTCCAGACGCGCGTATTATTCTAGATTAACTAGGCGAAACTGTCAGTAGTTGCGCGAAGCCGAGGTGCGTGCGGCGGCGTAAGCGATATTCGGAGCAAGAATGCAGCGCGATCTTAGAATTGAATGACTGGACTAAAGAGCGAGACCGATTCTCTAGATATCTCGCGCGTTTTCATGCTTCGGGGTGACTGAAGTCGCAACACGACTTGTAGCATAGGGATAATAGACGTGGGGACGTGTTGGGTGGTGATTATATCGAGGGGCGGATGCCTCTCGGTTCTGCGGAATCTCAAGACGAGGAGCGCAGACACATGCCGCCGTCCGCGCATGCACCCCTTTCCGCGCATGCGCCTTCCGCCGCGCCCTCCGCGCAGGCACCCGCGCTGATGCCCCTCCCGAACGGCGCGCTGTTCGGTTCTGCCGTGCCCCTGCAGCAGCAGCAGCAGCTGCTCCAGGCGCGCGACGGGGAGGGCGCGCAAGCGCAACTCCATGCACCGCAGCAGGGGCTGAAAGCGCCGCAGCAGGCGGGCCAGCCCGGGTTCTTCAACGGTCACCAGACAGAATCTCTAGGCAGTAATGTTCACAATCCGATTCGTGGATCGGGGTTTGGGGGAACGGTTGGGGCGGAGGGAGGCGCTGCGCCCGCGGAGCAGTCAGGCGTGCGGGCGGCGGAGCAGCAGCAGGGACAGGCGCAGCCCGCGCAGCTTGCGCAGCAACAACATCCGCAGTTTCTACAGCCACAGTCGTACCAGCCCGCGCAAATCCCGACGCAGTACCCACCGCAGTACCCGTTTGCGCAAGGGATGGTGATGCAACAAGGACAACAGAACCATTACCAGCAGCAACAGCCACAGCATCAGCCGTCACATCAGCCGCAGCAGCAGCAACAGCAGCCTCTTCCGGTATTTCAACATCATCAGCAATATCAGCAGCAGCAGCAGCAACAGGGGCAGCAGCCTTTGCACCCGCCGTCGCTCCGCCCTCTCTCTCTCAATGGTAACGCGAGTATGCCTCACACCCAGCAAGACAACTCGTCGTTGTCGTCGATGTCTCTTCTTCCTCCGCCTGCCGCTCCCTCACTCGCTCCTCCTCAAAGCGTCACAGGCAGCAGCGCACCGGGACCTAGCGCCTCCGCGCAATTTCTTTCCCCGTCCAACGGGAATCAGCAGTCCATGCAGACACACCCGCAGCAGTACCAGCAGCAGCAACAGCAGCAGCCGCCCCCCCAGCATCCGCAGTACCAACCACTTCAGCAGCAACAGCAGCAGTATCCTCCCCACCAAACACAGCAGCAGCAGCAGCAGCCGCCGCCGCAGCAACTGCAACAGCAGCAGCAACTGCAGCAGCAGCAGCAGCCCATCGTGCCCCCGCTCCTCCACCTTCCCCTTCCCGCGCTCTCCGAAGCCCCCGCGGCCCCGGCTCTCGCTTCCCCGCCCTCGTTGTCCTCCAAGTCCCCCGCGGAGGTTCATCCGCCAATGGAGCCGCTTCCGCCGCTACTTCCGCCCCCCGCCAACCTCAACTCTTCCGCCACCGCCGCACCGTCGTTCCCGTCAATCGGCCGCCCCCTTCCTTCACTTGCGCAGAACACCCGCGGGCTCCCTTTTGGCGGAACGGGCGCAACCGGAGCAAGCTCCACGGGGAACGTCGCGGGAGCCGCCGCGCCGCCGCCGACCACCACCGCTAACTACACGACTCCCGCGGGCCGGTTGCGCGTGGGTTCTCACCTTCCGCTACTCGGCGGTAGGTTCCGTTTCCGCGCAACGATCTCGGAAGGTGGGTCTGCGCGCGTGTTCGAGGCGGTGGATACCGCTGGCAGCTCCGCAGCTGGCGCAAGCGGAGGGGGCGCGCTCGGGGGATTACCAACGGCGTCGGATCTTCAACGGGCGTCGAATCAAAACCAGAGTCAGCTACAACCGACCGTTGTGATCAAGGCGATGCACCGGCAGTATCGTGAGGTGGGACGGCAGGAGCTACAGCTGCTACATATTCTCAACTCGCTTCTGCCGGCCGCGGTTGGCGGCGCAGAAAACGGAAGCGCGGAGAACGGGGATCGAGAGCCGGACGGTTGTCCGGTAGTGCGGTTGATCGAACCTGGAGGATTTGATTTTTCCGGACACATGTGTTTGGTGTTGGAGAAGCTTCACGGGTCGCTCCTTGATTACCTCTGTCGCCGGGCCGTTGAAGACGCCTCCGCGAAACCCGCCGGATCAGCCGCCGCGTCTCCCGGTGGCGCGTCCGCATCTTGCAATTGCGCGGAGAACTCTGTCGAGGAGGGCGCGCGGAGCGGACCAGTTGCGCGCGCACCAGCGTTCCCCGACAGAGTGGAGGACGTCCGCGCGGTTGCGCGCCAAGTGCTCACGGCGCTCGCGGCGGTCCATTCGATCGGGTTCATCCACGGGGATATCAAGCCCGAAAATATCCTCCTTGCTGCGCCGATTCCAAGCGGAACCACCGCGGTTGCTGCAGGAGTGTCGGGTTCTGGGGGGCGGGTTTGCCCTGTGCATTCCCCGCGGCCGGCGCCGTTGAATATCAAGCTCGCTGATTTTGGAAATTCGTTCATGCAGCGGCAGGTGAAGGATTTGTGTCGGGATTTTGATGTTCAGACGCTCGCGTACCGGGCACCTGAAGTTTTGCTCGGGCTGCCATTTGATAAGAGTATCGATCTCTGGTCTCTGGGGTGTGTTCTTTCGGAGCTCGCGATTGGCCGGTTGCTTTTCGTCTGCGATTCGCCCGCGCAGCTGCTTCGCCAGATGGTGGAGATGCTCGGGTTACCTCCTCCTGCGAAGCTGTTTCGCAACGGAAAGCTCTTCCCGCAGCTTGCGAGGAGCGCGCGTGTATACCCGTCGCAGCAGCTGGAGGAGATCGCAGGAGATGCGGATGGCGAGGGTGGGAAGGCTGCGGGCGACGACGACGCAGCGGAGAAGAATCATGCGACAATTCGGTAAGAAAAATTCAGGGGCAGTGTAGGTGAGAACATGCTGTTGGTGCAGCAAAATTGTTTTTTCAAACACGACCGGCTGGAGGAGGAAGGGATTGGGGCATGGTTGCCCAATCAAAAGTCTGGATTGGCGGCGCGGTAAGCGCGACGCGGTTGACGAGAAATTCGAGATTTGGATTGCACATTGTAGTTGGTGCAGGTGGATAACGGTTTCGCTTGGCTAGGCATCTTTCGCGTATATCGTCAAATGTGCGAAAATGTATCTCGAACCTCACAATGGCTGAGAAGTAGCATTCGCCAGTATCGCGAAACGATTTGCGAAAACCTACAATTTTGACATCTCTAATCCCCCCACCGTAAGTGCCCGCAAGTGCCCACAAGCACCTCTTATGTCCTTACTGCCTCAACCTACCTATTTTCCTACCTTACCTCCTATTTGCAGGCGTGGTCGACTTGGCCGGATGCTGTTACAACACGATCCTCTCATGGCGGAGCTCATTTTCTCCTTGATGGAG